AGTAAAAAGCAAATTTGAGGTAAATTTCATTCACGTATCTAAAAGCTTTTTACAACAATTGACTTCAAAAATAATAACGTTAACTTTAATATTATTTCAGCTTGTTCTGGTAGCTGCCGATCACGGTACTCCTACGGCATATGAAACATTACGACTGCTTACTGTACAATTAGTTGATACGAACGACAACACGCCACAATTTTACGATGAATATCATTTTTATATATCAGAAAATCGCCCGAAAGATTACTTCGTGGGAAAAGTAACTGCGGAAGATAAAGACGAAGGCAGACACGCGAAGGTTTATTATTACATAGAGGCTGGTAAGTAATGTTCTACCAAGCAATTTGTAAAATTATACTATTACTAAATAAGGATACACATTTATGTAAATGGGAATATTTTTCAGGAAATGAAAATTATGCGTTTTACATGGACAAATCTGATGGTAGCATATACGCAAATAAATCATTCGATCGTGAATCTCGGGACAAATATGTCTTATCGATACTGGCTTCCAATGATCCTGATATCTATATAAGCCCCGTAGATGCAGGACGTCCACTAATGCACAATACAGACCATGGACATGTAAATGTTACCATAACTATTTTAGACGAAAATGATAACTTACCGATATTCGAACGTAACGACTACTATGCGGGTGTTAATTCAATGGCAAATGTGAATGATTTTGTAACAAAAGTAACAGCGTCAGACTTAGATGTTGGAGATAACGGTACGCTACATTACTACGTTGCCAGTGCAAACCTCTACAAATATGGATCAGAGAAACCTAGTGGTTCTATAGTTCCAAGTCCTTTCAATGTAACACAAGATGGTAAACTTGTCACAAGTGGTTATATGGCTGAGTATAACCAGGACAGATTCATTGTTGAAGTTATAGCAAAAGAAACTGCTATTCCAGAGAGATATGCTATGACTAGAGTTCATGTAAGTTATTTTATACGTGAGTATTTGTACACTTTTAATTTCTTAATTACTTATCTTTTATGTTGACAAAGGTCTGGGTATTCGAAGCTTCGCAATTAATTAGAGTCATTTTGTCAAAATCTCCCGAAGAAGTGAATCGTGAACGTGATGAAATTGTGTCAGAATTATCAAATGCAACTCAAAGCAGAGTTGTTGTTGATGAAATTCGATACCATGTAGATGCATCAGGTCATATTCGTAGAGAATGGTAAGAAAAGAACATTTGAAACTTTCTCTAAATTAATTTGTACTTTTTTAAGAACGTAACATTTGAATGCAACTTATAGGTGTGACATGTATTTACACGTGGTAGAACCAAAAACCCAAACTATTGCTCCCATTCCACAAGTACTTAAAGTTATTGATGCAAAATATGACTTCTTGAAAGATTATTATGCTGGTTTTGCTATTGAAAATGTTGTGGTAAATATTTCTTACATTTCAAACCATAAATAAGATATTAACATTGTGTTAACTAATATAATTTTTCAGCCTGCTTATGCAGGAGTACAAGAAGAACCATTTGATCCTGCGTTAGCGGCTTTAATAGCCTTACTTGTAGTTTTATTAGTTGGTGCAGTTACTGTAACAGTAGTTTGTTGTTGTTTACGACACTGGTAAATGCTAAACAAATATACATTTTCTTATTTTAATATGAAAAACATCAAATGTATTATATTACATGATATTTTAGGGTAATCACTGTGCCAAATGATATAAGGAAGAAGGATGGTTTAATAAAGAAACAAATTATTGACGAGTTAAATACTACAGAAAATCCTTTGTGGATCGAGCAGTGAGTAAAGATATACCTTCTGTTAAAGATACATTCATATAACATATTTATATAATGATAATTTTTTAGAAAACTCAAATTATATGAGGAACAAGAATTGACAATGCAAGTATTTAGTGAACCTGAAGGTGGCTTAGGTACAGAGAGACGAGGAAGTGGTGTAAGTGTTGGGATGGGTGATACATCTCAAGATAACACTTATGCTACTATTCAGCGACCACTGCCTACGAACAGGCACCGTCCAACAACACCAGATTATACAACGCTTCCAGGAAACCATAATGTATATCAAAAAAGCCATTATATTCTTTAACATTAGATAAACTATTATATATTCAAGAAGAAAAAATGTAATTATATTATACATTTTATTTTAGCTTTACGAATCAGCCATGGGTTTTCAAGGATCAACATTTCAGCCATCCTCGAATGTAATGCCTCAATTTACACTTGATCGTGATGGTCAACCCCAGTTTGTTTCAGGGCTAGTATAAATTAAGTTTTACGCCAATCCCTTTTTTAATCAGTAATATAACTTTATCACCATACGTCGTACCTCTCTAACCACGGCTCTAACTGTTGCACGCGCCTTTCCGAAATTACACTCGCATGCACACACCTTTTCGACAATAATCGGATAATATCGTTAGGTTTGTCTGCGAGTAGACGCGTGTACAAGGAGAGCACAAAAATTATCCCGAATTACACAGGAAAATCTACTCTGACTGTGCACCTTTTGCTATTTCAGTTCGAACTCTTCAGCAGTGAAGAATTCAAGATGAAGAGTAACGACGAACAACAGTCAATATTACTGGAATAAATATTTCCCTGTAGCTGGTGTGTGCATGTATATATGTGTGCGTTGCCAACCTATGGTCCTAACTAACTAATTGTTAGGTTCACTGTTAGAAAAATCAAAATTGCTAGAAAATAGATACTGTGAAATAGTTTAATGACCGAAGCTTGGCACGACAGATATATGTATATAAATGAATGTGTAGACTCCGTCCAGCGCAGTTTTCTGATTAATTCCTCACTAGTTTAGTATTTATATAACTTATGTACGTTTTACACGTAAAAACAAAAGGAAGGAACGTACTTATAGTGTCATTATCTTCTATATGAACAAATGAGTCACTTAATGTCATATCATGGCGTTAATACAACAAAATGTTCTAAATGTTAAAAAAAGAACAAGCTCATAATGTTAAAAACTATTTGTAATTAGGAAAACAATTCAGTCGAAATATCAACATATGTCATAAGTTCATGTACAACTATTAATTTGCAATATATGTTATATTTATTTAAGTTAGGGTTAAATGACTGATTTTTATCCGATTAATCTGTGATTTGATTACGCCCGCGTGTATACGTGACAGTTATCCTACATTTGAGATTTTGTATAACTCATTGGCGATGGGCGGATATAGTCATATCATAGCTAGTTAAATGGAGACGTTCGCATCAAATTTCAATGTTATGTAACAACATAATCATCTCGCGCTATCTGCGAAGACCACATCGCTTTTCATCGCCTAAACCGTCCTCAACGAAACATATGTGCATTGGGGTCTATGGAATTTATTGCGAACGGCTCTAATCGTACAGTATATCATATACTCGAAAAACAATAACTTAACTATGATCATGTTATGTCTATAAACATTTAATGTAAAACTAATATCAGTATCACAATATTACTAGATGGTTATGAATATTCCAGTTAGTAAAAGTATCTGTTTATTGATTATAAATTTATTGTAACATATTTTATGTATAAGTCATTGATAAAAAAAAATATTCGTATGTCAACATTCATCACATCTCACATCATGTGGAAATAAATATTCAAATCTGTGTACATTTAACTCTTTTCAGTATCCATATGTTTTTCTTTATCCAAATTCTTTTTTTTTATCTCAATATTAGACTTATTATCTAACGATTTTGGTGCATAATTGAAAACTTGAACTACCGAATTAGGTTGTTCAATCCATAATTTATATCCTCCTTTTGTAGGATACCTTTTAACACTTAAGCATGTTAAACATGTCCATTTCACACTTTTTACCGGTTTTGACACTAATCGCACCCTTGCAGTTTCACCAGGTATAAGTGGTGATTGACAACATTTACAAATTGTCCTTTTAATATCCGATTCTCTTAAAAAGAAAAATTTTATACATATATAAATCTTACTTACATATTTATAGAAACTTATTTACAATTATGACTAGATAGATATATTATGGTCATTTAAATTTTTTAAACTCACATTCTTAAAACTGATTTTTTTGCGCAACCAACCATTATATTTCCATAATATGATGCTGCTACTCTATTTTTCAATGCCATTAGGTAACTTGCCTAAGAACAGTTTTTCATTAATATTTCCACTTTAATTTACAGTATAAAAAATTACTCAAGATTATTATTACCTGATACAAATAGTTCATCCTTTCAAAAATATCTTTACCTTGGCATAGTTTTGTATTTGTATCTAATAATTATAAAATAGAAAATAAATGTAATAGAAAAATATGTAAATATATGTAACACTTAATATTACAAATACATTTGAAAATATACAATATATTACATTTCATACTAACCCATACTTCTTATAAAAATTAAAGTTACGTATCTTAAAACTTTGTTCGTAAAGAAATACTTTGAAGCAGAAAATGGTTTAGTAAAATAGGTTATGTTGTATTGTTTACGGTTACTTATGACGCATACTATATAGATTGTCAAACATGTAATATATTATTAGACCTATACATCGTTACTAAAGCAAAATTATATTTAAAAGTTTCAAATAAAACTTTCAAGTATTATAAAATTAGATAAAGTTATTCACACAACTACATTGTCCATTAAAGTAAGCTATAAGTGAATTATGGTACTTTATTATATATATATGGTACTTTATTGCAAAGTTGATATATATATATACACAAATTGATGCAAATAAAAATTTGATCTTGTTTTATTTGTTTTATCTTTACTTTGTTTTTGTGTCGTAACATATGGCAACAAAGTTAGGATATTTAATATAAAATTTAGTATAGTTTTAATTATTGAATTACCTACAAAGTTAAAGTTCTAAAAAAAATAGTGTCAATGAATATTTCAATGTATAGTTGTACTTATACATTTTATTATTATCTTATATTTGAGATACGTCATATAAAAACAATATTATCTTAAAATAATTCAAGTTTGACTTTAATGATTAACAATAATAATGTGAAACAAACAATATACAATCTAGGAAATTTCATTTTTTCAATATAATATACAATATACAAATGTTTAGAAAGAATTGGTACTTATAGACTTTCTCTTTCCGGAATGCATACATAATCCTTGTGTATAGTCATCATTCCTTATCATTATCATAGTAATCCTTGTGAACTATGATCAAAAACTGATGTTGAAGTATTAGTTAAAGCTGTCATAAGCATATGTGACTTATAATTATCTTTACATGCTGATGATAATCCATTTTCTTTTACTTTACATTTCCAACTAAGATTAGGAGTAAATTCAACTTTTAAGTTTTCTGTTTCTTCAATTGAGTTTTGATCGGGGCTCCTTGTACTATTAGCATTTGATCTGTATAATTTAAATAAGATATTGAAATAATAATTATGAATTGATTAGTGAATCTATGAAATTATTAAAAAATAATAATTTTTACTCAAAATATTACAAATTAAATACTTACTCTTCCAAGACATTATTTTCATCGTAACGATAACCATACTCTCCAAAAACATTCTCCAAATTATCGCACTGCTCTTTTAAGCTTTCATATTGTGCCTTAGTTTCTTGGAGAAATTCTTCCATATGAATTGAATCTTCTTTCATTTCTGACAAAGTTTGTTCTATTCCATCCTGATATTTTTTAGTAAATAAAGAAAATATTATATAGTATCAGTAGCAATATAAATTTTTAAGAAACATTAAATAACAAAACATTAATTAAATGGTAGAAATAATTTAAAGAGATAAAATGATTTATATGATACAAACCTGTGTACTTTTTATAACATTCCACATAGCTTCGGTATAAAAATCTGATTCTGCAGTACATTCTGCAAAACGTCCGATTAGAACGTGTGGAAGTTTCCATGTTGTATTTAGTTTTTCAATACCGTCATCAATTTGTCGAGCTTGAACTCTCAGTTTTCCAAAATTATTTGACCGCATTGGATACAAATTGTATCAAATTTACCTGCTATTTCACAAGTTGATTATTTTGAATGACTGTATACACAGCTACGTAAGCGTTTTTAAAATATGTAACCGTATACGCTTTTGCCAACATAAAATATAAAATTCTCTGCGTAAGTAACTATCCCTTTTTATATTAATATTATATTGTTTTTACTTACTATATGTTATAATTAAACAGATAAATGCAAAGGTTGTTAAATTAAAATATATTCCTATTCAATAAATTTCAAAAAATTTATATCTGAACATGTTTTTCATAAAACACTGTTTTTAATGTTTTTAATAATATATTATATTAAATTGTACGTATGCTCGGAAGTAAAATTTATATAAAGTTTAATTGCATATTTCCATGTCATTAATAATAGCGCTTTTAATACTATTTTATTGGATTGAATGCCATCGATATTTTTTATTAATATACCATATGTCACATAATACAATTATTAAGTATTAACTATTAACGAATTAAATATTGTAATTCAAAATCTATGACACTTATAAAAAAAACCATCAAAATTTAATTTTCGCAGGAAACCAACTATGGAAAGTTAATGAGACAATATTAAATTGAATTCTTATCCTTATAGGGAAATAAATTATATATGTTGGGAAGTAATAATACTACCACTATTACATAAAAGTTTAATACAATACTGTTGAATAAAATTTGAATAAAAATTATGGTTTATTGTTTTGATGTACATATATATAACATATGTATATGAATGTATTCGGTTTGATAAATCTGTCGAATCTTTTATACCGTTTTTTTTACGTTAATTTATTACGTTCAAGATTCCTCAATTATTAAAATTACATAATAGCTACTTGAAATCTTTTCTAAGTGATATTTAAAAACTCGAGTTTTAAAAATTGTAAGAAAGGGATAAATTCTTTATACTGTACATTACAAAAAAATACTTCTTATTATAGATGTAGCTGATAGTATTTGCTTATTTAATACATAGCAAATAAATAAAAAATGAAAAAGGAGGCATATTGCAATAAAATTTAGTTTCTGAAACAATTATATATAGATAAAAAATAATAAATAAAATTATACAAAAGAAATAAATTTAAACCGTGCGTGCTTAAAATTACACTAGTATTTAGTAATCATACTATAATAAAAAGATTTCGTTAAATAGGTACGTTAGATATATTAAAATCGTACAAAATTGAATAGTGAAATTGTCTGTGTTGTATACCTATAATAATCAATACTACTTTTTTATAATCATAATAAAAGGAAAAATATAATAATCAGTTACTAATATCGAAGTACATAACAACAAAGTATTTTTAAACTTATCCACATTTTAACTAGCGAGAGACTACTTTTGACCTACTGAATATGCACTTATGTCATAATCGTTCCAACGTCCATTTTCAGACGCAAACGCTCGTAACGGATTCTAGGGGAACATTAATGACGACAATGTGCATAGTATAGAAAAAGCTACATAAATGTGAAATTGTAACCGCACATGAACGCGGTTCATGAATATATGACATTAGGCACAACGCATAATGGCTACTGTAACATTGTAAAAAAGTGTTTCGCCTGACAGCAATAGAAATGTAGTTCGTGTAATTCAAAGAACATTTTGTGGTTTAATTATCAAACAGATTTTTTCGATTAACTAAGGTTAATAACAAACTCATTTGTTCCATGACTTCCTTACTAAATAATACGTAAGTACATAGGTTTTAAATTATATATAGGTTTTTATTTATACGATATAAATTAAAGTAATTAGTACAAAGTAAAATGGAATTTAAATGACCTCTGTAAAAGCATATTTACAATTTAAATGCAATTTCTGTAAATGGACAACTATATAGTTGATTGTAATTTCAGGTTAACAAAAAATGACAGTATTAGAAACAGAAGAAGATGCGGATAAACGTTCAGTTCCCCCTAGGAAGAAACTTTGCTTATCCCTTTCTGGCCGTGCACGTACAATTTCTAACAACATTTCTCAGGCTCCTCAGATTTCAGAGAGGGAGAGCCTTTTAAACAGAGATACCTATACACATAGTACGTAAACTTCATTATTATATAAACTTTCATATTACATTGAATATTAATTATATATGATTATATCAATCAAATATGATTTAACATTTATTCATAATGTTCATTAATTATGAAGGTACAATCAAAATGTTGAATGGTTATCGCAATCAATTGAGCAATCACCAAGATGGAAGTTATGATGTATCGAATAGTGGTACAGAAGGATTAAGAATAGCTACTTTATGTAATTTAGGAAATACATGTTTTTTGAACAGTGTGATATATACGTTACGATTTGCACCATCCTTCCTACATAATTTGCATCATTTGGCCACCGATTTGTCTAATTTAAATGATAAACAACTTCAAACAAAAGTAAGTTGTATTTTATTTAAAACAATAGATTTTGTTCCAGCAGTACACGTCATTAGCGACTGAGATGCTGATGCTAATTCTTTAATTAAAAGAAAGAATGCTTTGTTATATTTTTATATAAAAATAAAATGAAAAAATATATTGTATATTTTTCATATTAGATAAAGTCATCATCTTTGGGAAGAACTGGTGTGTCACTTACATCAAGTGGCAGCAGGAGTTGGAGCAGTAAAGACCTATTAGCTTTGGCTGGACCTACTGGAGATAGTAACAAACATAGAATACAAATAGCTACTGAGAAGTTACATGAATTGTTCATGGCATTACGTGCATCTGAAGCAAGAGAAAACAGTGAACCGTATCAACCAGATGCATTTTTGCAAGCTCTTAGGTAAATATAATATTAATAATAGAATATTATAATTAAGAATTGAATATTACATTAAAAACAATAATGTATGTATATCTTTTTACAGAGATGTAAATCCTATCTTTGAAGGAAATCAACAGCAAGATGCTCATGAGCTTTTAGTGTGTTTACTAGATAACATCAGGGAAACATTCCAATTGTTAGTCAGGCATAGAGAAAGTCAGTTTGGACAAAATAACGATGGATTATCAGACTTCTCTACAGAACATTTAACAGATGTACAATCAGAAGGTAGTAATTCCAACAAAAGAAGCATTCGTAAATCTAGAAAAAAGAAAAAGATTACAACAAGGGGAAGTTCATCTTGTCTTGTACAATCGAATCTAAATGGTGTATCAGTATCTTCTAGACCATATGAGCATATGAAATATTATATGAAGTACTGTATGAAATATGAAAATGGCCATGCTGAATTTCCGGAAACTAATGGAGAGATAAGTAGTCATAGACTGGAAAGCAAAAAGTGTTTTATTTCTGAAGATTTTGAGGGAGTTAGCCTTTTGCGGACTACATGTCTAGAGTGTGAGCATGTTACAGAACGAAAGGAAACATTTTGCGATATATGTGTGCCTATTGATATAGACAGATCAAGTGAAAAAGGTAGGTGACATTAATGATCATCCAATATTAAGTAACGAGTAACAATCAGAAATATACTGTAGATATATTTATTTGCAGATAAAGAAGTAAGACCAATGGATAGTAGTGAAGTATACAAACGTGCTGTAGTTACTAGTGAACTTCTTTGGGGTAGAGATAAATATTGGTGCGCTCGTTGTCTTCGTTATAATGAAGCTCGCAGAGCTGTGTGTTTTCCATCTTTACCAAGGCTACTTATATTGCAGTTGAAAAGATTTTCTACTGCAGCAGGGTAAGATTCAGTTTTCTAACTTATTTATTGCAATGAAGAAACAAGATTTCCATATTTCATATGAAGATATATATTGCATTAGGTCAATGGAAAAAATTAATAATCATATGCCAACACCGTTAACGTTGCAATGTTTTTGCGAAGAATGCAACAATGATCAAACACGGGGAACTACAAGTGGCAGATCAGAGTCACGACATGTATATAAGTTATATTCTGTAATTATGCACCAGGGTGCGACAATGACAGCTGGTCATTATGTCGCTTATACTCGTTTACCTGATGAATCTGCATTCGCAGAATATTTTCAATGCGATCGAGGTAGTAAACGACAAACTTCTGGTCAGGGTAGTAGCAGCAGCACAAACACAAACTCGTCTTCATCAGACAAAACATCCGGTATATTAAAATACTTTAGAAGTAAACCAAGTGCTAGTGAATCTAAGGAACAATTAATTCGGTTTGGTTGTCGTAGTATGGATTGTTGTGGTATTCGACGTCATAAACACACTAGCACATGGCTGGAATGTGATGACGAAGCAGTACATGTAATCCCATTACGAGAGTTAGAAGATAAATTAGCGCCAAATCCACGAAATTCCGCCACTCCTTACCTCCTGTTCTATGTAAGATCTATGACGTAAATATTTTTTTTCTTTAAAAACGTAAAAAACATACGTATATCAAGTATTCAAACTAAGAGTGCAATGGGCCTTGTTCCTCCCTGTTAATGATTGCACTGTCACACACATTCCACATCTGTTTACTCTGTACGTACTGTATCAGGTTTAGGTGAACGTGTATAATTTCGTAGAAAATAAATTATATATTAAAATCATGTTAAGCGTTAGAATTTGATAGTTAAATGATATGCAATAAATTCTCCACTCTACGCGATAATGGTACTCAAATCTTGCTATTAATACCACAAAGTGTCAATTTGTATTTAGATGATTAATGTTAACTGGGACGTGGGGCGTTTTATTTTTAAGTTGTTTCTGTAAAAATAAAAGTGTGTATTCTTGATTTAATTCCCTATTCTTTTCAGCTTTAGGTACTTTCCAATGTAAGTGGAAGTACAAAAATGATATTTACAATAATTAAATAAGCTTGTATCCTAGATACTATTATCATATATATTTTTATTAACCGTATTGTTTTTTTCATGTACTATCTACAACACATATTATCTTATTATATGTTTTATTTATGAGAATGGTAAAAACAAAAAAGTATTTATGTTAGTAAATTAATAATATATTCCTTTTATATTTTTAAATTAAATTATAAATATATTTCTTTAAACGTATAATTTTTATACTTTTATTTCCTAAACAAAAAAAAGATAATTCCAGATTTTTTGCCGAAGACGTTTGCGTTTGAAATCGTTCTAATTTAAGTTCAATTATTATATACATAATCACTGTTAAATGTGCGAAAATCAATCACTATGACATATAGTTTGTAATAAATATGTATACGTCCAAGAAGTAATTTAAAGATGTCGGAGTTAAGCGATTGTTGTTAAACAATAACAGAATGAAATAGAGCAAAGAACAGTGAATTATTAATTGCGTAAAATGTCCTGTTTACGTTGAAATACATATTTGTAAAACGTCAGAATGTCAGTTTAATCATACGTGGCTATATACATATATCGATTGTTTCGATAGGGGTCAGTAGTGAATAGTCGTGTTTCACCTGCCAGCCTGACGTATTGTCGTTTCTTCTACTTTCGACTCGCGTTACAAATACATTTAACTTTCCGCCTTTTTTTATATAAAAAGTTTTCCTACTTGGACATGGTTGCATCGTTGTTTCTTTAAAGAAAAGGTAAGTCAGTCGTATATAGAGTTGTATACAAATTTTAACGTTTTTAAATGAAATCAAATTTACGCGCTACGAATAAGCAGAATTTAAACGAAAGTAGAACATTCATGTATACGTTATAGTGTGAATATATATTTTTTATATTCGTGTTATATTCATTGTTAAATACGATAGATTGTAAAACATTAAAACTTGTAGGAAGACATTGTATTTGCGTAATATTGAAATCGGTAACGTTAATAAGTAATTACTATTTAAGCTAATTATTTGATTACCAAAACTGTCTGTTTCTTTTAATTAATTATTTATATAAATATTAGAATGCGAATATGAAAGTGTTGTAAGAAAAATCAACTTTTACTGTTATTATTACCGTTTTAATAATTTTATATTCTTTTATTAGTTATATACATAGTTATTATTTGAAATAATGTTTTTCTTTATTTGCATAACGTGCGAGTAAACTGCGTACCTGCGTTTTATTCAACAGTAACAATTTAACGTCAATTTGTATAATGACATGGTGAGTGTAACATACAAGAATTTCATTGAATGTACGTATTTCGATGTGAAACACTATGGATATAAAAATCATTCACTTGGACAAAAAAAGCAATCAGTTGGAATCAGGCAACAAGAAGACGCAAAACAACGTTGATTGTTGGTAAAATTACCAGCGATAGTAAATGGAAAATGCTTAATGAACATTACAATAGTATAGAATATCTCCATAACGCATAGTGCACATTTATCGCTCTAACAAACTAAGCAAACATAATCAATACAGTTACAGTATATCGTCGACAAGTATAATAAATGGATGTCGTAATATCATTGACGTTTATTACATGCACTGCACATTATACATTAGTGTCATATCTTTCTTTCTTAAAGAGTTACGTTTGATACAAAATATGTATACTAAGCATCGTAAATTTATTAATTCACTGTTCACGTATACTTGATATACTTCACTTATTTGTATTATATCACATTTTTAACATTGCTCAACGTAATGATAAATACATCTAATACGATATTTATATAGTTATTGTATAAGTCAATATAATTCGTACTATTATTGATATCGACGTAAGAATTAAAAGTGATGTGATGAGATTATATCGTAAATATTTAAAATATTATTAGCATGTTGGTCATTAACTGTTGCAAGTTCGAGCACTATAAATATATTTATAATAGTAGTTATTGTGTACGTTGATTTATTTAATACGGTTACTGTAAAAACCATATACTACAAATATAATACCCAGCTCAAATTGTATTTTTACTTATTACACTTCTATTTAAATATATTTTCTACCTTATAATTTATCCACGTGTTTTCTCTGTTTACACACCGAATAACCTCAATATATAGAACAAAAATTTTTCGTTTGAGGCTTTGTTTTCGAGAAAATCGACTTTGTATTTTCGCTCGATACGCATGCACTTTATCACGTCTCGTTATAACGGATCTCACTGTAGATTGTTGTCTCGATGGAAAAATTAAACAAAAAAATTAAAAAAAAATGTATATTCTATATTTCCGACTTCTTTTTTCGCGTAGAATCACCCCCTTTCCGCTTGTACCACCAACCACCCTGTATAATACGAATATATACTACACCAACAAATACTATATTATAAAAATAGTATCACCTTTTAATATTACACGAGATAAAATTAAGTCAATAAGAATAGATATACATATACGTACATATGTCATTCACCTATTTGTTTTAATCGAATTTTCGTACGTCGGAGATGATCTGATCTGTTTTTCATTTATACGGTGATTACAGATTTTGCTAAAACTAATAAATTATCGGTATGAAGCACCAGCAGATCTCGGTCGATTTTATAAGCATGGTGTACACCGCTTGTTCGTACTTGGCTCTCGCTGGAGTCGTTTGGATATTCTTACGACTCATCCAGGCGTGCTTTTGGTTACCACGCCATCTGAAAAGACAAAATAATGTCCAACGAATGCTGCAAGACAAGGTTCTATTTTTCTATTCCCTTTTAACAAGTAAAATATATTAATATAATAAGTCTGTGAGTGGATTAAGTGGTTAAATGTTTTAGTGTAATATTACAGTAGCTTTTAAATAAGCAATAACGTCTTTCCTTGATTAAAGCTCCGTAAAATTATCTTTACACTTTGTTTATGAACCAAAGCGAGTAGCAGGGGGCATTGTTTCATTGTTCTCAGCCTCACATGTCTGACCGGTGATAAATGAACGTGTCGAATTCTGGACATTGATCGAGTGATTCATAAGTGAAATTTGAATTTTTATGTTGGAACTTCATAAAACGGAACTCATTGATGAATGGTTGATTTAAACAGATTATCTGTTATCTTTATTATTTTTTTCTTTCTTCTTTTAAAAATTGAAGATAGTATTCAAATGTCTTTAAAAGTATGAAATGTATCAAAATGGGAAATATATGGAAAATATGAGAAGTGCTTGGATGAAAATTGTAATATATCAAGCGTGCTGAGGTTATGTGATCTTCCAATTATTTTAAAAATCCCTAAATCAACATCGAGAGAGGAAAGAATAAAAAAATTCTTCTTAAAAAGAAGACTACATTTCTCATTGTATATGGAATGTTTTCAGAATATTTTTGCTTGTTTCTTTCACACGAGATATTCTTGAGACATTAACATAATGGATATTAGCATAATACCAAGACACATAGAAACTGCACGATCGAACCTCCATATACTTTACTTATGTGATAGCGTATACACAAGCGTCACAGCATTGAAAAGGACCCTATTGCTTAAAATCTTAGACTAATTTTTCAATGCAGGGATTTTCAATGCGTATGTATATGTATATTCGACTCTGTATTCTACCTTCTGCAATATTGCTGCAGTTAAATCTCGATATATCCTAACGATTCTACGCTTTATAACTCCAGATGTCCTAGAGCTTTAATTCTTAAACGATATTTTTTAAACGAGGTAATGTAATTATGGTTAATCCTGACATGTCCACTTCGAAAATTCATATCGCCAAAAATAATTCAAATTAAAGATGAAAAGTAGTTTTGTTGAAAATATCACGATTTAGTATCAGTTATAATATGCAACGAAAAATATATGTTGCCATCTATAAATTCGCAGTTGAAGATCATCACAAGATCGAACAAATGTCAGTATAATCTGTTCCTCTCAATATTTTATAACTAGACTGAGGATTATTCTGCATTTATGGAAAATTTCAATGTGGAAAAATTTATAGAATGTATGTAACATATAAAAATACATAAAACATTCAAGGTACAGTAGTTGTTATAATATTTGGAGGATGAAACAAATCTCTATTCGACCTCTATTTTTTTAGTTATATTCGCAAAAAATCGGAATTTTCACAAATATCTGCAGTCTATCACTTTCGATCGAGACATTTTCCTATATTTTTCATTCCTTCCGAGATATTTGCCCTTTTTATCTATTAATATGAGAATCATCGGCTTTAAAAAAAATGTTTTAAAAAAATTATTCTGTAATTTGCGAAATTGAAATTGCTTTAATATCTTCACTACACTTATCATTAAAAAAAATGTTTGAAAGAAAATTTTTCTGCGTGAATGGATAAATATTCTACTATCTTTTAAGTATTTACACGTTTATTTAAAAATATCTATAGTTACGTGAACCATCAATTAATAATCATTTTTGTATAGATGGAGGGCTATGAGAAGTACATATTGGAGTGCGAAAGAAGAGAAAAGATTGAACAAGAAATGCAAGGCGGGGATGCCAAGTGTGATCCTGAGCAAGCGGAGAAATGGAAAGAACGAAGAGAATGTCTGGAAATGTTGAAGAGGGAATTAAGTAAGATTCGCGATGGCGGTGACGATTCGCAAGACTGGGACTATCTTCTGGAAGATGATGAAAAGAAGGAAGCTAGTATCACAGAAATTCAAGATGACGAAATTTCTAAAGATGGACCTAATGGTAAAATAAACGCAAGCACGAACGTGATCAAACAAGTAGCCGATTCGCAGGAGAAAAAGGACAAATAATTATGTTTCACATCATCTCTGTAAGAACGCAACGGCATTTATGATAACAGATTGAAGATGTTTAAAATCTTTTTAGTTCGTAAAAATCGTAGATAAAATCGTACGATGAAACATTTGAAGAATTCGATTCGAAGTATTTAAAAAATATGCAACGAGATAAATGTGTGTTCATTTCAAAACAAACAGAAGAAATAGTAATTATTAATTTTGTGACAAAATTTTTAACAATTTTTAATATCATAAATAGTTTTAACCTTAATACGTTTCGTTCACATATTCACCTACGAGGCACAAGAATTTAGTAATTAATACGTATTAAGTGTTTGATTCTACCTATATTTAATTATATTTGCAATGATATACGAGTGAATGCATTTTATTGTACGTAGCTAAATATACAATTTTTACGAAAAATTACCCGTTGACACGAAAATGTAAAATAAGTGCATATACATTAGAAACACAATTCAAAATTAAAGTTCAATCTATTACATACACGTGCCTCTTTAAAATTACAATATAATCAAGGGATATATAGAGTTTTGCAATTATTAGCCTACAATAATTTAAAGAATTCAAATTAGTTTATAATATGATAAAATTGTTATATTATAATATAGAAGATGTATTATGATATTAATAATTTTAATATATTTTTGTTATATTTATTGTTATTATTATTTAGTGCTGTATACGTATTGAGACTTTAAAGAAGTGCCCTTATAAAAATAGAATAGGTATATTCTTAAAGATGACTGAAACACATACACGAAAAACAAATGAAATTAAGATATTTAAAAAATCGAATTTATAATATCTAACAGAGTTAATTTATCGAAATATTACATATGGAAAGAACAATTATGATATTTTTGTACTGGATTTTTATCAAACATAATGTAAAGTGTAAACTTTATAGTATTTATAACAAATATTTAAAGTTACCAATTCTAACCAGGAAAATGAATTGAACTGAATATAATAATATATAAACTAAGTGTGATTTCGTATGCAACTAATGCACCGTATTTTTTACATGCATGTATATCAACAAAGTCCTATTTATTCTTCAGACGTGTTATACATCTATGTACGTATCTTTGTATCGTTTGAATTACAAAAGTAAAAACACCAAATATACTTAATATTAATCTTGAAATATTTACTAATTAGATCGTATCTAACTAAATTTAATTTATCATTTGGTATCTCACGGTATTATTAAATAAATGTAAAATAAAAAGAACTTCTTAAGTTTCAATTTTACTACTAATCATTATTATTAACATTTTTGTATGAAAATGTATCGAATGAAATAACTTTCAATAAATCATATACACGTAGAATTCTTTGTTATTGGAGAAAACATATCATGTCTATGTGAACTATCTTTTTAAACATCTAAAGAACTAATCATTTTTGGAATACCATTAGTGAAATTTATAAAAAGAAGTACACAATGGTCCTTCCGCGAAAACGCGACGTCGGTATAATTCGTTGTCGAAAAACCCCCTTTGCGAAGGTGTGGTCCGGGAAAACACTTGGAGGCCTGCTGCAAAATGATGTGCACAGTGCCGGAGTCATCAGTTCCGTTGCACGTAGCGCGTCGTAGCGTAGCAATAAATAAATTAAGCTCCTTTCACAGCTGGGCCAAATTTCTCTTACGATCAAAAGCTTCTTCGCATGCACACTTAATTCGAAAATAAAAAGGTCGGTAAGCAGACTGTTGCGCCTCAACTCGACATCTGTTTTCAATCGAGTTATTAATAATTTAAACTAACAATTGATACAACTGTAGAAATAATTAACTAAGAAGAGGATTAATTCGTATGTGGGAAGAATTTCATGTTCTTATGATATGTTTTTATCGTTGAAAATTATACGAATGTGCACTAGAAAGGGTATCGCGGTTGCGTTAGCGATAATTACCGAAGTTTGTTATCTAAAGACAAAGTTTAACCGAAATTTATCGATTGATTTTCACGAGTATTTTTAGAGAATAGACATGAACGAATGCAACAACTGTATCTAGATGTTCCAATTACGATACCTTGGGAAGCAGGTGCAAGATACCGGGTAGAGATATACACACGTTTTACGGCCTGAAAGTCAAGGCTACGCTCGAAGGGCAAACTTAAAAAGGAGCTACATTTGCTGGCGCACATCCAACTGGAGCAACGATTATTTTCTTTGCCTGCGAGGCGATGGAGGTCGCTGCGCCATTCTAAACATATATTGGGTCTAATCCAGCCGAGGCATGTGCACGAATCATTTTTCTTCAGCTGTCGGCCACGACTTTTTTCCTTCAGCATCAATTTTTCATAATGAATCTCTGATTGCAATGTGGAAATGCTTTATGCAGCTATATTCTATCCTAATGAAAAATTAATTCCGTCAAATGCAACCACTTATGAATTTCAACAAGAAACAGGGAAAACTTGTTAGTTCAGGATGTAACTTTTATTTTAAGTCACATTACAAAGTTGATTATAGATTTATCAATATACGTTCTATAAGTAATATAATTGCAAAGAAATGTATAGAAATGTTTAGGATCCGATTACTTTTGAGTTTCATTATTTTAGTATCGTTTTATACGTCATTTTATAGTAAAATTTTGTATAACTATTGAGTTCTGTTAAATTTGGAAAACATTAATTTTATTTATTTCTATCTTTACAGCATAATAGAATTATATTATAAAGTTAAATAGAATCTACGTTTAATACAACACACTTTTATAAAATACACATTTATAATTGACGAAAACAATTAATATATGTTTACACGCGTACTGTTCTATACGATACAGAAGGTATCCCGCGAACAAATTGAGAAACTTTGTCAGCGCATTCAGAATATATCGATCAATTTGTCTTTGCTTTTGAGATATGGAAAGTATATTGAGATATAAACCAGAATTAATTATACGGATTAAAGCTACTTAATTTTTGTTCATATTTAACATTGTGTTCGATTTTGACATAATGTATTAATCATTTCGTGTTCCTGTGTACGTAAGATGGCTTTCACATTAACCGTATCTATTTTAAATATCGATAAAATCATTCCAAATGCTAATAGTAGAATCATTGATATTTGTTACCAAATGTGTATCCACTTTTGACCTCAATTTGAAAAACATTTGAAGGGGATAGGTTAATCACTATGCGATTTATGTTACACGTCCAATATCAGTTTTCCTTTGACTTTGATAAACATTTCATAGATGTTAAATGACAAGGAATTCCATATATTGATATTTCTGTTCATATTTTTCTGCAACGGTATGTATTAAAACTTCATTTATTGGAATTCATCGGATGACCAATGATAACTGCAATTCACATGATGAGAAATTAAAGATTAGAGCTTTAAGATTAGAGATTGAATTTAATAAGATATTCAGTAACATATTACATTTAGAAGTCAATTATACCTTTTCACATTTTTAATACTTATACATATCTATAAGAATCTAATCATATGTTATATTCCACTTAAGGACAATAACAAAGCAAACACACCAATTGCATATGTTTCTGTATTGAATGATTTAAAATTAATTCATATTAATAATTTCAGTACATTATCGCTATAGCACTAATTACTGACGAATTAAGTTATTCTCTCACTATATTTCGCATAAAACCGTCTTTTTCGTAAAACTAAGCAACTAGTGTACTTACATGAATCGATCACTAACTTCGTGAAAGTTTTCGTTATTCGTGCGCAAGGTGGTGCCACCGGCGTTATTTGTACACAATCAGACAGTTTGATGGCGGGAGGGCGCTACTTGCAATCGGGTGTATAAGGGTTCGTGGACGAAATTGGCCCTCTTCATGGACCTAGGCGATTACGTTTCTGTCGTGTAACGCGAGGGACAACACGCGAAAAGTGGTTTGCACGTTGATCTGTGGGATTGACGACAATGTCGTCGAGAAGGCAACGTTCTACGTTTATTTAAAAATCGTTGATGTATACTCTCGTCGCTGACCTGGAGACCGGCGACAGGAGCCATGCCGCAGCACAACCCCTGCCTGAAGAGGCTGATGACAATGACAGCGACGAATCGTCATCGTCTTGTCAGCTAGGGAACGTCGACACCAAGTAAGTAAGTAGTTGAACGTCATGTTCCTGCTGCGTACAGCCTTTTAGTCTTATTTCTCTCACCTGCACGATTTCTTGGTCGATAACATTTCTCTACCTGAATATGCATACATCATCGCGCGAGTTTTCGATCATCTGAAATAATCCACGATCGAACATCACTCAATGATTGAATTTGATATTTAACGTACGATGGTTACGTGTTGATTTGGCTGGTCAGTGTGTTTGTAGATGCAAGAAACTGGTTAGTTATGTTCTAATTGTGTAATGTGATTGTCCAAAACAATATCGACGCGGCAATTTGAGCGATAAAGAGGGGAATATCAGAATAATAGAGAGAGATTCGGTAGTTTGCCAGTCGATGCATGCACTTATATATACATATATATATGGGCATGTGTGTGTGTGTTTTTCGTATAAATGTGGTGTTCACTATGTGGATCAATTTGGTTTTCGCGTGCACTATCGCGTGGTTCTATCGTTGATCTACTCGGCGCGGCGTGTTTACGTTGTGGAAATATACCCAACGAAGGATCGTACAGTTGAAATATTGTTTCGCGAGCAGTTGCGTCGAGTCTTTTGTTACTGCTGCCAGGTGACTGGAACGAGCAGAGGTCACTGACCGGTGAACTCTGACCGAACATGACGTCATTGATTGTAGCCTCCATCCAGGGAGTTTATTTTTGTGTCACTGTATAGGTCGGTATAGGAGGTGCGACGCATCTGTAGAGAGTAGAGCATCTATGGCCTTTATCCTTGTTGCATGTTCCACCGTCAGACCTATTGCGTCAAACGTATATAACGCATATACGTTTGATTTACTTATAATCGTATACCTGCGTCTTTTTAACGATGTATGAACGAATGAATGGATTCGCATTATGAACAATTTGTTTGTTGGTTCATATTGAACTATACTATAATTTTAATCGCGAATATAATACAAGCAATAGACGTACGATTACTCGATCGATTAAAGAGTCAACATTGACGATGCCGTAATATTTGAAGCGCGCAGAATTAACTAATCATAATATGGAAATAACAGATCCTAATAATTTATAAAATATCATTTCGCGATTTATACTCATGAACGATTGTATATTTTTAATGTTTACGTTGCAAATAATAACATCTTAGAAATAATTTAATATGCAGTAAATGAGATTTAATTAAATATAACTGAAGTAAATGAAATATAATTGAAATATACACAGTACACATATCTCTGTATTTTGTAAAAACTTCCTATTTACAAAATTACTTGTTGCACATAGTGAGTACGTATGAAAACATAAATTAGTATGCAAATTATACCTTTTTTGCAATGAATTACATTTATTTTTCAAATATCGAAATTTAATAGTGTCCTATCGGCATTGACAGTCTATATAAATTATGAGATAACACAATAAGTAACAAAAGATAATCATTAGCAGAGAAATAATCTTTTAATAAAGTATTATGAATGTGAAAGTAAAATTTTTAATAGTTATAGCATATTTAGCTACAGGAAATTTATTTTCAAAGTGCATGAGCCAAACATATTTTGTAGCTGTTTTTATTATAAAACAACTTACAATTACATGTTCTCACAAGAAAAAAGACTTGCTCGGATACGACCACGCTTTTTCACACGTTCGCCATAAGAAAATATTTAACAAGAGCTTTGTGCAGATCTGTTAAATCTCTCGGATTGCGTATAGACTTGTGCGAAAAAGTTGTTCTGATATTTTTGAAACATCAATAAATTTTTCATCAATATGTTCACATGTACAATAAGTCGCGTGAATCACAACTGTTTCCAAAATTTATACCGAATTTCCTAAAACGAGAATAAAGTATACACATTTTTATTTAATATTTCACATTCACAATTTGTCCAATTTGGACATTTGGTAGAATTTTTTAGCTGTTTGATTATCATGTGGGTGGCTACCCCCAATGGGGTACCATCTTCGTGTTTGTTAGGATATACCCTTTGTGAGATCTGCTGGGTGTTTCCTTTTTAGTCTTCTTTCTATGGTTGCGTTGATCGTTTCCGCTGCC